TTTTTATCATTACATTATGGAAAATAATGACCTTTATCACAATATGCAAATTTTTTTAGAAGGACCTGTAAATCCTCTTCTAAAGCTACAGCTGTTGTTGTTAAAGGTACTTTTTGCCCTACATTATACATGCTTTGAATTCCACTCATTGTTCGTATGTGGGTGCATCTTGTGTGTACAGTAATCAGTGTCGCATAATTAACAGTTTCCCAGCATGCCCTATAAGTGTCCTCAGCAGACCAGTAATGGCAGAAACATGCATACACCAGCTAAGTTGGTGTGGGACTGCACACCTTTCCACAAACATTTAATAATTGATATTAACAAAGTTCATGCTCAATAATCCATGTATAAAATCCAGCATTTTTCAGTCAAGTCATCTGGACAGTTTCTTTTTTTGTGCTGAAACGTTTCACCTTCAATCCGGAAGACTTCATTAGTCAAGGAAACACACAAAACTGATTTTGCCCCTGACAGCTTACTCCGAAGTGGAACAAACCAGATCTGCTTGTGATAAGATGGTCTCTTTGGTACGCCCCATTGCCGGCCCTCTTCCTTGTTGACAGTCTTGTCAAACTGGTTGAAAACAACAAAGTCCATGCTCAATAATCCAGGTATACAATCCAACATTTTTCAGTCAGGTCATGCGTTTCCTTGACTGATGAAGCCTTCCGGATCGAAGGCGAAACGTTTCAGTACAAAAAAAGAAACTGTCCAGATGACCTGACTGAAAAATGTTGAATAATTGATATTGTTTTTTTTAATGTGGAAGAGAGAAATATTTTGTTCTTATGCATCTATTGTACATGAAGCCCCTGAGTAAGATGAGACTTGAATAAAAGCAAAAACAAACAATGTTACCTTTCATGCTTCAGTTCAAGTGACTGATTTGAACTTGTAGTCTTTTAACAACTTGTAGTCATTAGACATGGAGAACATGGCAGCCTTCACTTTTCTTCTGATACATCGCATGTCCAGAATGTGGCTATTTGCAGCTTCACAAGAAATTCCTCTAATCCTTAATGGTATCTGAAACCTTTTTAGAGGTGAAATGTTTGCTAAAATGTTTAGGACATGAATAATTTCATATAAATGCATTCTGTTTATTTAGCCAGACTAAGTTACTTTTAATAACTATCAAATATTAAAAACTGGAGGAAAGATACACTCGGCGCTGTAATGGAACCATTTTTCAAGTTTGTATTTGATGTCTAGATATTTTTCTTTAGCTGTTGTGGTCGTACTCCAAGTACATGGCTGGACTGAAGAGGGAGGAGATGCTGCTGAGGAGACAAAGTCAGGTCGGGACTTCCTTTTCCACAGCGTCAGGTACACTCACACACATCCTTCAATCTTTTAATGGCTCAGTAATTCTTTCCTGCACTTTGAACTGCTTGTTGCTTGTAGTCTGTTAATGGAGGAAATCATAGAACTTAAGACGTATAGCCTTTCCCCAATGTTAAATCCACTTTACAATGCTCCAATAATACCTGGCAGCCCCTTTCATTCAAGCCATTAACTGTTAATGGTCTGTGCAGAACTTAGTTTGAGCCCAAACTAAATGAGGAAACATGGAAATGGAGCATACTTACACGTTTAACAGAAAGGTGTAGAGGGAAATCACAGATGGAGATCATCTGATTTAATCACTGCAGCGCCACATGAGCAAGATGTGAGTGAACACAGCTCAAAGGTGCCATTTACCACCATACATAAACTAAACGTTCTGCATTCGGTGCTTTGTAAAAATTCTACCAGGATCTTTTATGAGGACAAAATTTATGAGATATTCAAAATGTGACTGATCTGTTGTCCTTCAGACATGATGTAAATGTAGAAGCTGTTGCCTAAGTTGGTCTCTCCTGTTCAGACTTCTCCACCGACTGCAGCTTCAGGTCAGCCAGCAGTCAGCGTGGCTCCTCCAGGACCGACAGCAAGAAGAACAGATCAGACAGCAGGTGAACAGTACACCAGGTCAAAGGTGACAAGTTGCCAACAGCCTCTTTATCAAACTGAACCTTTTCTGTTTCTCTGCAGGAAGCATCAGAACCTGTGGCATGAAAAGAGACTAAAATGTAAAAACTGACTGCGTGCGTCTCAGCTTTGGCGTCAACAGATGATTCTCATGGTTATCAGAGCCATACGGGAAACTTTAAGAGACTGAGCTGAAAACAGCACCTCAGACTGAGGAAGTCTCTCAGATGAGATGAAACATTTCTATTTTTTTTTGCTTTGTTTTGTTTTTTTGAATGTCCAGAGGACCAGATTGAACTTTTTTTGCATAAGGTAAACTGACCTGCAGGAAATTAATGATGCTGAGGAAGAAACAAAGATCCACCTAACACTGTAAAAGTAAAAATAAAAAAAAACTTAAACACATCCAGCAAAGTTCAGTCAGGTCATCTGGATGGTTTATTTTTTGTTGAGGCGTTTCATCCTTCATCCAAAGGACTTCATCAGTCTGAGGAGCCACAAACAAACTCAGTCTAACAAGCTGCATTTCCACACAGTGGACCAACCAGTTTGCTGGTGATCAGATGGTTTCTGGGTCCCGCCCTCTCCCCCATTAACTCATCCAAGGCAGCCATAGCCAAAGTGGTTCAAAACATCAAAGTCCACTAAGTTTGGGACTTAGTTTGTTGTGGCTCCTCGTACTGATGAAGTTCTTTGTATGAAGGATGAAACATTTCACCATAAAAAATAAACTGTCCAGATGACCTGACTGAACATTGTTGGATTTTTTACTGGATTATTGAGCATGAACCTAATGTTAGACACATTTGTTGGTACCATTACAGCTGATGGAAACAACACCCCAATTCTCTTTAAGTGATCCAGTTAAATGCCGTTATGTTTATCTGCATGCCTTTAGTATGACAAATTGTGAAAAGATTTATTTTACAAATTTGTGGTCAAACTTGTTGGTACCCTTCGGCTGAGACAAAAAGCTGGACGGCACCAGTGATGCTGCTTCAGGTCAAACAGTTTGAATCATGACCATTAAAATAATCTAAGGGTACCACAGAGTAATTGGTTGAATCCTCCTCATGGAGCAGAGAAAAAGATCTGTCTGAGGAGCTCAGAAAGATTTTAGATAACCATGTTAAAGGTAAATGATACAAGAACATCTACAAGCAGCTTCATGTTTGTCTGAACGCAGCTGACGAGATGAAAAAGTATAAAGTTCATGGGACTGTGGCCAACCTCCCACGACATGGACACAAGAGGAAATGCAATCCCAGGTTGATCCATCACAGTGGAAGACGACCCAGGAGGCCCCACTGTTGCAGAAAAACAAAACCACCACAGAGATTCACCAAAATTCATGTAGACAAGCTTCAAAGTTTCTGAGAGAATGTCTTTCAGAATGATGAGACAAGATCTGAGCGTTTGATCCGTCACACAAGCTGATTTTTACATTGTGGAAGGATATCAACAAATTCATGCACTTATTCTGTGTTCTTTAATTAGGAAGTTTCTATACATATATTATAGGTTTTATACAATACATGTACATTTCACAGAGAGCTCAGTAGTACAACAATAAAAAGGCAATAACTAGTTTGCATCATTTGGATTTGGCGTCAACACAGTGTCAAACAAGAACATTCCATCTGCAGATGTTTTGGCTGACAGCTGGTGTCTCTAGGATCCATCGAGTACAATATTGCACATTACATTGCATGACACGATTTACAGAATGTAAACAAAATGATTGACTCCTGTATGCTTCAACGTTTCTGTGACACACTGACTAAACTTGTTAAAACTCCTCACACAGTAAGAAATCCTATGAATAAAACGGTTTACCATCATGGTTTGACTGTGTAATACATTTCAGAACATATTCCAAGAATTATTTTACATCCTTAAGGCATGAGTGACCAGTTAGACACACCTAAAATATAATAACATCAAAAAAGTTTTGCATAAATGACAACAAAAAAAGGAGAAAGATCTTAAGGCTTAATATCTTAGTACAAAAAAAAGGTTAAATCATGTGATCTGAAACTCAAAGTCTAAAATGTTTACACATCAGTGAAAGCCGATGCGTAAGGCCTTGTTCTTCACCATGGTGAACTTGCTGACAAACACCTTGGCAGCGGCAGGATCCACCAGGTAGTGGTAGCACTTTGTGGCAGAAGGAGGCGGCTCTGCGAGACTTATTTGGTGCTGCAGCTGGAGAGAGGCGGTGGACGGGGAGAGGAACTGGGAGGCTCGCATCACGTAATCCAGCAGCCGCTGGTACTGCTGCTCCGACAGGCGCTCACGGACACCGTCACCCTGAGGGAGGACAGAGGGACAAGATACACAACGCTGGACTGATCAAGTCTCATGATGGACCTGTGGTAATGACGTTGCCATGGCAACTAAATGCACACGTCTGAGGCCGACTCAACTTTTAGGCATTCAAAGAAATCATTAAGAACTTTAATTTTTTTTTCAGCGTTGTACTTCACAGCAGAAACATCATGCAGGGGCCAAAATTAAAACATTTTTCAAACTAAGGGCTGGTTTCAGAATCTACATTAACTCAAGTTGGATATCCAACATCTTTTGTTGGTCGCAGGTTCCTCAACAAGAGTTTGATTGGTCTCATTTGATGTTCTCTGTTGTGCCTTTAACATCATAATCAAAGATTACTAAAAAATTAAAATGATAAAAGTTTTTTTTTTTTCACATATCTTGGGGGCCACATTTGGCCCCCGGGCCTCGAGTTTGACACGTGGCTTTAAGTGTAAATGGGACACAGAAGTTAGACTTGACATGACTGAGCTGGCGTTTTGATTTCCGTTATAATTTTTACACAATCACAATTTGAATTTTATGATTTTGACAGATGATGTCACACTGACTCTTTCTCTAAAAACATTAAATATTTTGCAAATAAACTTTTATTACTTAACTGTTATTGATGCAAACAGTTTAAACGTAAAAACAGGTTTTGTGTTATTTCACCCAGTGTGTTCTCGCAAACCAAATCTCCCATGAACTTTTGTTTTATTTTAGCTTAAAATTCGCTTTAAACAGGAAGTGAAGGGTCTTTTACTCGTCATATTTTCTACTTAAAACACTAGAAACAAACAAAAACAAAAAAAAAAAACACCTTTGTTACATCAGTTTTCTGTTGCTGCTCATGATTCAACAAATAAAATAAACTTATTATATAGTTTGAACAGCCTCTGCCTCTCATTAACTTGACAGACGGGCGTTTCTAGTTATTTTTTAAAGCAGTCAGCTGAGGTCAGACCACCTTTCCCATCAAGGCCCATCCTGCTCAAAGAGTTTCCATGTATGGAGGGTCCAGAGAACAAACCTGATGTTAAAGCTTGAATGAGTGCAAGATTAAAATCAACATGCTGAGTCCTACTGTTGACCTCCATGTGACCCAGCTGTGCAGCTTCATGACTCACCTCCGAGTCACTGTTCACGGTCTGCTGCTGTAAGGTGAGCGTGAGCTGGCCCTCCTGCTCCGCCTCCTGCCGACACTCCACCTGCACAGGACAACAGCTCTAACCATCCCTCCATCACTGCAGCACCGTTAAATGTTTGGGCCTGCTGCCAGTTACCTCAGTGATGGGAAAGGCCTGCTGCTGGGTGTCCTCACTGAGGCTGACAACAAACAGCACCTCAGAGGTGAGCAGCAGGCAGCCAGCGTGCTCCTGACCCGACCCGCTCACTATAGTCACCTCCAGGGCCATGTGGAGCTCCGGTCGCCCAAGAGACTGCAGCATCTTCCTGTTGTCACACCAAAAGGGCAAATAAAAGTTAGAACAAAACACAGTAATTAGCAACAGAATATGGTCTGATCTAAATCAACACAAAGTGCTGCTGGAAACGGGCTCGTGTGCACACAACACACATTCTGTCTCCACACAGTGATGGGCCCATCGTCACATTAAATAATCCTCAAACAAAAGACCACACAAGTTAACCTCACACACAAGTGATCATTAGACAGCCTGTACTTCTGTTTCTTTCAGCTCTGTGTTTCTGACCTCACACGTGCTCAGCAGGAAGAAACGTTCGGCCATGTTTCTCTGAAGGCAGGTGCTCAGAGAACAACGCTGAAGAACCACAGTCAGGAGGGTCTGGTCAGTGTTACACTGATCAGACTGACCTCTCACACATCTGGACTACCTGTTGCAGTAAATGTTATTGATGGAACCCAGTTTGACAGCTGAGTGCTTTAAATAAAGTACAAAGGAGAATTATGTTTTATATATAAATACCACAAAGTCTCTTGAGTGATGGAAACTGAAGAAAGATGTTCTTGTTTATCTAAAAACTGACAGCTTCCATTGACTGCTGTTAGATGTTTGACAGCTGTGGAAGCAAACTACATGTCAGAAATCTCTATAAAATGTCCTAAATGCTTCTTGTGCAGCTAATGATAACTTTTGGATGCAGACGCCTCATAAATCTTTCTAATAAATCAAAGTAGTTCAGTGAGAAACGAACTGCTGCTCAGCTGTTTCACTAACCAACCTGCTTCAAGCAGCTTTGAACTCTCTACTAAACCTAACTATTCTAGTGCATCAAGTAAGGTTTTCTTTACCATTTGATAGAAATAAAAAACTTGTGTGGACAGAATCATGATTAAATAAGAACAATTCAAGTTGTGGCTTTGGCAACAAGCTTAAGACAACTTCATAGTTGGATGAGAACAAGGGAAGGAAGACTGGCTGCCATGTGTGAGATCAAGGTGAAAAGAAAAAAATCCTCTACTGTTCGTGAAGTGAACGGCACAGATGATTCGGGGTAACAGGAGCTAAAGTTCCTGCAGAAAGCACAAAGGCAGCAGCTGCAGGGTCGTACCAGACGTATTTCAGGTGGCTGTTGGAGGCATGAGCTGAAGTTTCTTCTGCAGGTAAGTAGAGCTGCTTAGGAAGCTGCCACAGGCCGGCTCCATGGAGGATCCCTGTTCCAGCAAACAGAACGTTAGTCTCCAATCCTACACACACACTCAGTCACACACACACTCACACACACACACACTGGACAAATCTGATGGTCTGACTGACAACGCTCAGCTCGAGCGTCAGCAGCAGAGTCCAGTACAGGATTAGTGACCTGGTCAGATTCAGATCAGGATATTTAGTGTACGAAGCTGGGTCCCTTTTTTAACCTGGGTGGGTTGCCATGGTAACCAATGCTTTTGGACTAGAGATCACACAAGGCAACTAATCACTGCTCCTAAAACTTGAACCAGTGTTTCCCCTAGATAACTTGCCATGATGGGGCGCTCATCTCATCCGTGGGGGGGGGGAGGGACACACAGAGATGGAGACACGTCCTGATGCACAGCGCGCTGCTTGCACCAACAGTTTTAGAGTGGGAGTGGGGAGGTTCAGTGTGAGGAGTCAGTATGAGGGAAGAGGCTGCCTTTAGCTTTGTAACGCACCTGTACTGCGAGCCACAAGTGTTACATCAATGCCAACAGGTGGGTTGGGGGGTTTGGGGGGTGTGCGTGCGGTTTGGAAGACAGGGTGCTAGGTTATGTTGACGGGGCGGGGCACCCCACTTGTATAATGGTAACCATAACCCTGCGGTTTATGTGGAGCATGTCTTGTTCATCAACGCACCTGTTTGTGTTCTGTTCACTTTCACAGAGATCTTATAAAATGTTTCAAAGGACGACCAAAATCCCAGGTTAGCCAACATGTGAATGGAAAATAAACATTTTAATTAAAGCCACTCATTGGACTGAACACTTACTAGAGTCTTTTTAAATAGAATAAAGAGAACAAAGTTAACACTTTCATGTTTCTACAGAAGGAGGTGCCTGAAGAACATTAAAGTATAATAGAGCTAATGGTCAATGCTGGAGGCAGACTGATTATTTGGCTGAAATTTTTAATTGATAATTGGACATGCCTGTACATATCAGTGATCAATTAAAAAGTAGGACAATGAGGCAGCAGCAGCTGCTACAGCAAGTTCACAGTAGCCCACGATTTACACTGCCTGGCCAAAAAAAAGTTACACTAATATTTCATTGGATCACCTTTAGCTTTGATTACAACATGCATTCTCTGTGACTTTGTTTCAATAAACTTCTGCAATGTCACCAGATCTATTTCCATCCCAAAGATTCTCAATGGGTTTAAAGTCTGGACTCTGTGGTGGCCAATCCATGTGTGAAAGTGATGTCTCATGCTTCCAGAACCATTCTTTCACAATTCGAGCCCGATGAATCCTGGCATTGTCATCTTGGAATATGCTCGTGCCATCAGGGAAGAAAAAAATCAATTGATGGAATAACCTGTCATTCAGTATATTCAGCTGACCTCGTTCTTTGAGCACATACTGTTGCTGAACCTAGACCTGACCAACTGCAGTAACCCCAGATCATAGACTGCCCCCACAGGCTTGTACAGTAAGCCACAGTTTTTTTCCGGCCACATTTCTTCCTCGAGGACGATGGGTCGCCACTATCCTTCCAGTTTTTAATAATGCGTTGGACAGTTCTTAACCTAATTTGAGTAGTTTCTACAATATCTTTAGATGTTTTCTCTGCTTGATGCCAATGATTTGACCCTTCTCAAACAGGCTGACATCTTTTCCACGACCACGCGATGTGTCTTTCAACGTGGTTGTTTAAAAAATGAGCAACAACTCATTGCACCAGCTGGGGTTAAATAACTTGTTGCAGCTGAAAGATAATCGTCACATGCAGTAATTATCCAACAGGAGGCTCGTACTGGTTTGCATAGTTAAATCCAGGTGGTGACATTTTTTTTGGTCAGGCAGTGTAGTTCTATAAGGAAAAAAGTTTTATATATATTTTATGGGCACAAATTCTAAGAATTATTAAATAAACATTTATCTAAGTTGTGCAATTATTGCTATATTTTATTTAATAAAAAAATCAATTTAGGCCAAAAACTGTTGCATATCTAATAATAATAATAAAATAAAAAAATCAGCCTTGAAAACTCACGTCACCTTTCAGTCAGATCATTTTATGCTTTGATTAGTTTAGGCAGAGCTTTCATTAATAATGTGCTTGTTGCCTTTTCTCAATTTAAAACATCCATCAGTTTTGCTTCCAGCTTCATGACTGATCCGTGCTCTAATGTGATTTTACACAAACAAGCACAGATCCAGGTTGAGTTGACTCACTGAGCTGATGTGAGATCTGTGAGACCACTAAACACAACTCCACATTAAAGAGTTCATTAAACTGGATCTGTGAAAGGAACGCTGGGTCAGCTGAACTCGTGTCTCCTGTATCAGGTGCTGCTCGGTGAAATCAAGTTCTTCAAGAACCCAGCGGGCTTTGTTACTGAACTCACTGCAGCTCTGAGTGTTTGTGCAGAGCCACGTGTTTTACAAAAGAACAAAACCAAATGTGACAACAATAACAAAAGCATCGCAGATCATCTGCATACACTGTCAGAAAACGTTTGGTTCCATGAGCGTGTAAGAGTGAGCGCCAGCGCATTTGTGAAGGAGTGTGTGTTTGTGCCGCAGCTGTGTGTGTATGCGTAATGTGTGGAGCTCAGAGGGTCCGGGCGATCAGCGCCAGGCTCTGGGGAGGCATCGTTCCTTTATGGAGCTGTTCACCTCATTGGTAGTTTATGTTCTGTAGCCAAGAGCTGCTGTTGCCATCACACACCACCCTCTGATGCACTCCCCTCCTCTACCCCCAATAAAACTAAGTAACTCCAGAGTTACACTGCCTGTGTGTGTGTGTGTGTGTGTGTGTGTGTGTGTGTGTCCAGGGGGTCTGTCAGCAGTTCCCTCATGGGTCCCAACATAGAAAACATCTTGGCTCCAAAGTGAAGCTGAGATCGTTTCTGACACGCGTCACTTTGCTGTTGTGTGCAGAAGTGCATGTTTTGGACACGACAGTTAACATTACAGATTTCATGTTCCTACAAATGCATAATCTAAACAAGACATGGAATGAACATATTTTCTGTGCTGCACATTACTCCATAAAACGACAGAGTTACCATGACAACAACTACATTTGTAACTGTTCAGGGCCTGAAACAGCCGCATCACGTTTTCTTTGTTTCACCAAGATTTGCTGCTAAATGTTCAGTAAACATCGGATAAAAAACAAAACATTATTTCATTTGGAAACATTCAAACAAGAATTCCCTCAGACCATTCTTGGCTCACCATATCCAGTCTGGGACACCAGTTCAGCTGCTCCCCCAATGGGCTTGGTGAAAACCCCCACAATGCCTTTCCCTACTCCAGAGATCACCCCCTTGGCTTTGCTTCCAGCTGAGCTCTGGGTTTCCCAGTTCCTTTGGAAATTTTGCATGGGTTGGTCCACAATGCCTGCTATTGCTCCTGGAAGGACAAGAGAACTTTGGTAAACTCTTAAACCAAAAAGTTTTGATTCAAGGATGTAAAATACATACACTTAGTGTTTATTGGGATAAACCGTGACAAAAAGATGTTTTTCATTTCATTAGGTCAGAAACAAACAGAAATACATGAACTCAGAGTCACACAAGAAGTCAGACACAGCTTTGCTCTACAGGAAGTACACGGTTTACTTTCTAAATGACTCATGATCTGTGCATCACACATGACAGTGACGTGGAGGCAGAACATGTTTCCTTCATATTAGGTGACCTAATGCTGAGGCAGGGATGGTCCTACATTCATGTTGGTTGATGCAAAGCAAAATTAACTAAACAAAAAAAAAAACATGTCTTCAATTCTGTGAATGCTGCTTGAGCCACAAATATAAAAACAACTCTTATGTGTACCTAACAAGCTGATGCCAAGTCGGGACAATCCCTGTCTCAGTCCGTCCCCGAGGCTCTCTGGTAGCTGCCGTCTCCACTCCTCCTGCCGGGTGTAGTGCTCTTCATCCAGAGACAGACGGTCCATGTTCCTCGCCAGACTCGTGGCTAAGTTAGTGATGGAGGTCAGGGTGCCTGAACATGGAAGTGACACAAACATCAGGCGTGTAACATGTGCTGAAGTCACGGTACAGAATATCTCAGTATAAAACATGGAAAAGACACAAACTACACAAACATGTAAAGGGGGTTGTCAGCTAATGATCAAACTGTATTATTTTATTAATCTAATATGAACTGTAAACAGTTCTACGGGCATGTGACAGTTTAATAAACTCTAAAACCCAAAGCTCTCTCTTTTCGTTGAGTTGGTACAATAAAGTGCTGCATCATTACTTCCAAAGCAATGTGTGAGTGGTGCACTTTGCAGAGCACAGCTTTCAGCTGAGCATCACGTGCACGTGCTCAGTTCACAGGACAGCACGTTGCCACATCCAATCACAGGAATCATGTACACCTCAACTTGTATTTTTATCCTTATTAGGACTGTGTATTTATTTCCTTTCATTTCTGTGGCCTAACTAGTGCTTACCTAACCCCAACCTAAACTCACTTCACATCCTAGACCTAAACCTGACCTCTAACCCAAAAACTGCAGTCTGCCCATTTAGGACTGAGCTTCGGTCTCCAAGAGAACTAATGGTCCTGATAAGAAATGTGTGTATACCAGGAAAGGCATTAAAAAGATAAAACAAACACACACAGGAGTTTGTGTGACGTCCATCTATGAGATGTGGCAGTAGAAAGAACTGGCAGCGCTTCTTTTATCTGACGGACACGCGCAGCTGGAACACTGAGCTGCTTCTCTGATAGATTTTACACTCCATCAATCAGTGCTGAACACGAGGACAGTTTCTACACACAGGCCCGTCTCCCAGCTCTTTAGCCCTGCAGCACAGACTGAACATTTTCTGGGACAGAAAGTTTGGACAGCTTTTGCTGCTCCTTTTCTTTCATGGCAGTTAGCAAAACTAAACTAAACAAACATCACGTGTGTGCACAGAGAGAGCTACTGTTGTATGGTCCCTGAACCTGTCCCAGGTGTCTGCACCATGGTGGTGTGTGTGTGTGTGTGTACCTTTAACTCCTCTCATTTGCCGTTAACTTTTATTGTAACGATGTCACAGCACCATCCTTTAACTAAAAAGTACAACTGTTCACCCCCCGTTACCTTTTGAAATGTGTCTGACAAAGGAGGTGGTTCCTCTGGACACTCCGCTGACAAAGGCCCCGGGCCCCCGGGTCAGACCCTCATACGGCAGGCGGAAGAAGTCGGACACACCGTTTCCGATGCTGCGGACCAGGCTGGCAGGACTGCCGAGGATCTCCAGGGATCCCACCACCCAACCTGAGATAAAGGAACAGCAGACGTATCTTTACTGCGTTGTATTCAGACAGTATTAATCCAAATCCTTGGGAAAAATTAACCTTTAAGTTTAGCATAGCCCGAGGCTAAACTTTAAACACACACTTTAAAATAATTGGAGGGAGCATCATTTATGTAATCAAATATCATTTCCTGAAATGACCCAGCTGGGCTGTTCCAGATTTCTGACAAGTTTTGTATTTAACAGAATTAAGACGTGCCTTGAACATTTGTGCTTTTCACAAACATGCCTCTGGAGCAAACTCCCTTCACTGTCCTCTTCTTGCCAAAAACAATTTGAAACCATCACTCCAAGTTCTCATCTTTGGAGCACAAACATTCACAGACCTTAACATGCGCACACCTGCATGCAATCATACAAGTGCCACGGTTAGATTTACAACCTCCGACTATCTCACCTCTCTCCCTGAACCCTGAAGCCCGTTCAGATGGCACGGCTCGCTGAGATTTATGCTCTGACTGTTGCATCAGAGAAAGCATTCCCCGAGACACCGGGCCCTGCTCTGCTCCTGCTCTCTGTCAATTTGTGCTTGAGTGATGGACTCCACTGGTAGAAAACCAACTCCAGTGGGAGCTAGTGGTTGTTTCTGCTTTCTGTGATGTCCCAGTTGTGGTTTGGGTAAAGTAAAACGTCTTAACAGGGCATGATGTTTACAAGGCGAAGCTTCACTTTCAAACACACATTAAATAGCAAAAACCTTCTAATGTTCACGGTGTGTGGATTTACGTGTGTGATGTGGGGAGCACAGCGCTCTAATGAGGATCAGCCCCAGGACACGACACTTCCCAGAACCACTTGCTCTGTGAGGACTGCAGGAGAAGGTGGCGAGGTGACATGTTGAAATATGAGCAGAGACGAGGGCTCTAACGAGAGACAGCAGGAAGGAAGCGTCTGACCGCGATGACCATTTCTGATGTGGAAACGATGGGGTTAAATCAGACCATGTGCGCGGGGGGGGGTTGCTCAGACTCGACAGCAGAAAGACACGGAGCAGCCGAAGGGTCTGATAAGTCAGCTGAGACTCGGTCGATCACAAACTGATGATAAAACACCGGCTTCAAACACGAATCAGGACTCGGCTGCTAACTAAATAAAAAAATCAGTTCTTAGTCTTAACAACCCCCC